AGATACGTACGTGAACCCTCCTGGAGAGAAACACAGTGTTGTGGCCAACAACAACAACAACAAGAACAACAAACACAATGCTCGGTCGGGCTGTGTTGTGTCGGGTTAGTCAGTTTTTCTTAACAAGTAATATAGGCGCGGTAGGGGCATGCAGGCAACCATTAGTTATATAGTTATTGGAGGAAAACAATAATAAAGAGACCTCTCCGTACATCATCCACCGGGCAACAATAAACCGTGACGGCATCAGCAGCAACAGCATCAGCAGCAGCACCAATCCCCAGCACCAACCACAACAATCCCACAATCGCAGCAGCGGTAGAGCCGCTAAAAAGCCATGTCTACAGAACGTGTGTCTCATCGGCGACCTGATACACCACCGAACGCCTCTCTCATCGCGTTGTTACACGTGTCGTACGCGCGAGCTACGCCACGTGCTAGATTTCAATGCGCGGGCCTCCACATTGTTCCAACGTCTCTCTCCCTTTCGTGCCTCTCCGGAAGAGAACTCGTACGATGCTTCCTCTTTTTCTCACGACCCCCTGTACGTCGGTCTAGTCGACGAATTTCCTAAATTTGCTCGAGACAGTTCAGCTCGTGAATATTAGTTCTTCTTGGATTAGTACAAGGATATGTGGAGAAATTAAGTCCGCGTGGAGAAACGTGGACGCACGAGGATTAGCGCTTTCGGGTCGTCTCACAGATTTTCTTGAACAATCTTTCAATCTTTTCATAGATCTATCATCAAGATTGTTGTACAATGGTGGAAACAATCGTAAGATAATTTAGATCGCCCTTTCTGTCGATCGAAAGATCTATCTAGTTCCATCGTTCGTCGCAGAAGCTCCCGAGAAAGACTCCTCTCTCTCTCTCTCTCTATCGGCCATCACAGCGGAACCTTCTAGGGTTCAAGAGAGAAATCTCTTTCTCGTGTGGTCGATCACGCTGAAACGAGGATGCTGATTGCCCGTAATAGCTTAGGATGCTCGCGTATCCAGCAGCAGCAGCCTCCCGCGTTTCTCGACGGCGAGCCTCGTCGACCTCCTGCTGCGCAATTCGGGGGAGATCGATACCCCAACGGGGTCCGCTTTTGTCGCGAACAAAAGGACGGCGTCGATCGCCACTATCGCAGGTCTCGTAGTTGTATGCTCGCCTCGCGATAGGATGAATTACTGAGTCGGCTCACTCGTCCAAATGCGAGACGCAAACTTCCACACAAGCACTCGTTCTTGGCGTGTTCGTTTATAATTCTTCCTCAATTTGGGTCGTGACCTCGACAACGCGAATCTCGCGACAATCGCAGGACTGTCGGCGGGACACTCGCGTGTCGACGTTTTTCAAGAACAATTCAGTATCTTGGAGATAAAGGGACAGGCAGTGCCTTGGAAGTAGGAAGCAACTGTGCGTTCGATTACAGGACGTTAGTCCCCCTACTTCCAAGCTGCAATTTGACCTAAAACCGTCGTAATTTATTTCGATCTAGAATTTATCCAACGGCCTCTATCTCTTCGCGAGATAAGGTTCAGTAAACTCAGTTACCTCATAACTTAGATATGGCGGTAGATATTAGAAATTTATCTTCCTTAATCGAGTTCACATTAGTTAACCAATCGTTCCGTATCCAAGACGTCGGAATTACTCGGTTAATATGGCCCGCAGCTTCATGCTCGTAGATAGATTCACAGTCGAGGTTCAGATAAGCGAAAACGAACCACGCGACGAATCGACTTCGTGGCGAAACGCAACGGGTCGCGTTACGCGGAGACGTTAACGACGTTTAACGTGAACGGTGATAACGTTAGCACTTGAAATGAAGGAACAAGCGTTTTAAATGTCATCGTGACTACTAGAAGAACTCATGCTTCTGCTTTAGCGATCGTTGCTGAGATCTTGTATTACCTACCTGCCGAAACACTTATCTCTTTCTTTTTATGTTTTGCATCTTTCTGTTCGTTCTTTCCCCGGACATAAATATTTGCAACCAAAGAATTTCGGGTTGGGTCAAAATACATTCACAATCCCCAAACTCGTGGGATTCTCGTGAGGAAAATATTCCGGACCTGTCGATAGCCTTCTGAAATCCGTCAGTTTTTTTTATTTAGTTTTCGTTCGATTTTTATTTGTATATGTCACTAATCGACACCTCGTGTAAAACATTTCAATAAACTGAGACAGAATAATAGTGCACGAAGGTAACTAATTCTCTCATTCGCTTTATACATTTACATCATTATACTAATAAGACGTTAAGCGAAATTCCAATATTTATGACATTTTCCAAATTTAGATGACAACTCGATATCAAACTATATAAGTTTCGTTTTGATCACTTTCGTAAGATTCATTTTCCATCGAGAAATTTACTTTCTTCCGCGCGAATATGCGCCCAACAAGCGAGGCCAATAAATACAAACGAAAATAATCCGATAACGTCTGCTCACCTCGACACAACTTTGCGTGCGACTATTGACGCAATCTTATCCTATCATGCCATATCTTTAAACTTGGATTTCCCGTTTCAGTCTATTATCGCAATATCGATCTGTTCAGAACCCTATTTTCCCAATAGCACATTAATATCAAAAAACATCAGAGAACGTCTCAGGGGGAATGACGGATTCCGGAGGAGTATCGATTCCATCCTGATCGCTGTATTTCCCATACGCACCCCATACGTTCACTATGTGGAGTTTTGCATCGTACAAGGAGGGAAAGAATTGATTTTAAGTTACGAAATATTAAGGAAAGATTTGCACGCGCATGCCACTGTCACCAGAGCACCACCACCACCTGACTACTTCAGAATTAGTTCGTATTTGCACGAAAGTGTATATCTCGTAACAGAGAGTAACGATACGATTCTGCAAGTCTCAATCTCGACATTTAATCGATCCTGATCCGAATACAGCGATCGTTATGATCGCGGGAAGCTGATTCGGAAGGCACTCGAACGAAATTCGCAGTTATGGATCCGAGATAATACATTTTCATAAAATATCATACATACATATAATTATTAACTTATTCTTTTAAGATTGCGTTAAAATTAATCTTGGATTACCTTCAACTAGAGATATCATTGTACACTTATAAGTCTGTAATTTGGGCTGCCGATTAAAAGTAAATAAATTTGGAGTTATTCTCGTCGAATCGTGAAGCATAACATGTTTTGTCTGGAAATAATCGTTTCTCGAAATAATTGTATTTAGGATAATTGGAATATATGATTATATTTCGTTACGAAATATATTACTGTGTTATTAAAAAGAGTCTTGTACAAATTATAGTATATTCCATTCGATCGTCATTGATAAAATTTTTCAAAATAAGCTTCGCCAAAACTTGCAGCAAATATTAATTCTACAAATTTGACTCGCAGCGTTTTGTTTCTAACGTTTAGAAATTCGTCTTAAATAGCCGTATTTAACGATTAACGTTACATGCAAATAAACCGTGGTGTGTATGTAATGGGATTCGCGCTGTACACACGAATTAGATATCTTTACGAAGAAGTTGCCTTGAACCAGTATCGAAAGGTATTTCTTATTTTAGTATATACACAGAAAAATATGCTTACAGTTAGTGCGCATAAGGAATATAGTGGTGGCTTTGATCAAGTTATTAAAAACAGGAATGTTGATGATTGTCGGCACACATACAGCACTTGGCAATGCTTGCTAGTATCTACTGTTCAACCTACACCCGAGTGCCTGTACCATACATTTACATCCAAAACACCATGCACTCTGTACATTAAAGGTAAATCTCGATATGATCGGTGGAAATAAGAGAGTAGTCTTCCCTGTTATACAAAGCAGGGAACGTATCACACATACGTTTATCGTTAATGTTGAGAAATTTGCTTACAATAAGGTTGCAAACCTGATTCCATTTAATAATACAAGAGTAAAAGGAAACAATAATTGACAGAGTATTGCAAAAACTAACAAAATTTCAATAGCAATATATACATAATACAGGATAAAATATAACACCACTTTTTTTCAATTGCAAAAAGCGTTATCGATTCTTTATCATCTTTAAATATTTTGTCGTGAAAGAACCAGGTCCACATAAAGGAAAGATGACTAAGACCTGAGATATCGTCTTGAAATACTCGTCGTTGTAAAGTAATAATAAATGTTTTCCATTGTAAATCTTATACATTATTGGCTTTGGATTTTTATATAAATATAAAACCTAGTCTCTTCTTCTAATTATCATTTGTGTGCGTGTATAAGTAATGCAAAGCTGCATAGCTACCAAACCATCGTACAGTTTGATGTGAAAAATCAATCAACTAACTACCCCTCAAAACTTAAACAGATCACAAGATCGCAATAGGAAGGAATCCCGTCTTCCTTCTTATTGCAATCAAAATTAACTGTTACCAAACCTTAATCCATGAAATCAGACAATTTCCATAATACTGACGCTTCATGTATCAAGGTATTTATACTAGTGTTCTGGTTTTGTACCCACAATACATGCAATTAATCCATCACCACTGAAGTTAGAATGCAGTTTCGTGTATCACAGAGCAGTTTATCATTGAAGTTGATGTATAAAATTCTCTTATATAGCAAAGTCCATTATATTAAAATCAGGTACATATAGATGCATATCTTCAAATATCAAAAATATCAAAATTGCAAACTTACAACTAATAAGTATGTGGATCATGTGGATACAAAACTTTCAAGTTTGTCGTATTGCCACTATTGTCATGTAAATATTGCTTGTGAATGATTTCATGAATAATAAATGGATAGCAAATTTAAAGAAAAACAAGAACTTGGCGTTCTCATATATTAATCTGTAACTGGTGAGTTAATAATTTGTTTTAAAAGGTTATAACTTTAAATAAATCTATGAATAGCTATTAATTCGTTGAATTTATGGCAGTCCCATGTTGTATTTACATTGCAATGGCAGAACGACAGACTATATCATATAATTTATATATATATAATAAAAAGAAGACGTGGACAATCACTTACCCTGTACTGCATCCTGTGTTGCCCTCTCTCCCGAAGTACTTGGTTTAGATAGCAGGTGTCCTAACAGACAAAAAAAATCATCAGACTGCGTGAAAAACTCATGTCCAACAATTGATCAAGATAAACGAGATAAAGGACGTTTCAGCGAGTTCTGGAAATTGTCGCGTACAAAGGACACCTACCGACATCTGACTGATGTTTGCCGTCCAAACCGTCCGATGTCGACTGACTCGAGTAAAACGTTTGACTGATGTCGGGCTTGTGTTCGTGATCAGGCGTGGTCGACGACGTATCGTCTATGGTGATTTTATTCAGCGTGTTGTCGCCTATACTCTGATCTTCGTAACTACAACTGCTACCATCCTGCTCCAGGTATTCCGGCATCTCCAGCTTCAGGTTCGGCATGAGGGGAATTATTTCGACCGGATCGGAGCCCAGCCCCGTCTGACTCTCCGACGTCTTCCCGTCGCAATCCTTCGCGTTGATCCCCGCCGAGTTCTTCTCCGCGTTCGCGTTCGTACTTTCTCGAATTTTTCTCCTCTTGTTTGGCGGCACTTCGGGTTGCAATTCAACGGCATGGTATGGCATCGGAGACGACGGGGACTTATTCCTCTTGTTATCCCCCGTGGATTTACCGGAGGTGTTCTGCAGTTGAACCTCAGGCTCGTTGGGAATTTCTATGTCATCCTAAAAAGTAATATGATATATAAATAAGAGGCTACTGCTTAGCCTGGTATTAGTCAGTTGCTTGTCAAAGATCCAGGATCGATTTCCGGATTTATCGCTCCACGTGTACGATACTAGAGAATACTTTTGATTGGAAAAAATATTCTACAAAAAAAAAAAAAAACAAATAAAATATCCGAAACATAAACTCAATCCCAAGCAAACTGGGGATGAGCAAATCTACAGTACTGCGTCGCTCCTTGCGAGACAGAAATCTCGAAATAACGAAAACGCTAAGTAAACTTAAAATAAAGCAAGTCCGGTTCTCAGCTTATTCCTTATCTAATTCCTTTTCCATTGAAATTATAATTATAACAAAATCAGAGATGGCTCTTCAAGCAGCATCACAAAGTAAAAAATATATATAATGGCGATTGGATCATAATACAATCCGACCACAAGAATTAACAGCTCAAGCTCCGGAAAACAAATTACGAGAACCGCCTCTGAGGGGACTTGTTTCGGGTTGTCATGTATCTACACGCAAAGAAAAGATTAGCCAAAAGAGCTAAAATTCAACAGTAACAGCTAAAATGTGTCTATGAAATAGGGACAGCTAATGTTGTTGCTGCCAAACCTCAATTTATTAGCCCTTTGAATTTAGATACTGCAGGGAAAAACATTAGCTGCTAGAAACAAATAATATTTATAAGCTGTATATACAGAGGCGCAGAAACATACGTCGAACAGCATTATAGGACGAAAAGAACGATACCATGCCGTTGTATTGTACCACACGCGAAGTAATGGTACGCTGATACATATGGCAACGTCTCGAAAACAATTGCGAATCGCATGTCGGGATCGCGCGCGTAATAATGGCTGCGTTCAGCAGAAAAAGCTGCTTTGCAACTGTTGTAAAATTCGTGAGTCTGATTGGCGTATTCTCTTAATCTTGAATGAATTTAAGAGCATACGCCAATCAGATTAATGAATTTTGCAATAGTTGCAAAGCAGCTTTTCTGCTGAACGTAGCCATTATTTCGAAGTAGCTGCTACTTTCTTAGCTGCTCGTGCTAAGTGCGCTATTCTTTCCAACTAATAAAGTTATATCTCGCAGTGATTGAATTTTATCTATAACCACCAACTTTTAGCAATGGCAACCAAACACTTAGCCTTTTAACTAATTTCAAAGCAGCTACTGCAATTTAGCTGATATTACTAAGTCATTTCTTTGCGTGTACTATTCTCCAAGTGAAGGACCTGCCACAGACAGGTGCCTTCTTTTTCACTAATAACACGGGGTCGTCACCAAGGAAGAAACTTGACTCGGTGCACCCAAACGTCTCTACAAACGTCTATTAAATTGCACAATCCCTCAGTCATTTTATACGTCAGCAACTTACCTCTACTAGACTGTCATCCTTCCCGCCGTCCGTAAGGCCCTGCACCGCCAAAAGCTCCGCCGTTGTGAGAAAACTCGCTAGCTGCTCTTGAACGACGTTCACCTCGCCTTGGTACATAAAATCGACCAAGGCGGCCAAGTCGTCGAATTTTACATTACGGAATATTACGACGGGATGCTGGCACGGATTTTCCTGCGGCACAACAACAACTGTTACGAAGGGACGTTTCCGTGTTTAAGTGCGTGCGCAATGTGTCGCGCCAAAATCAAGAAACACGGCAGCGTCTCGCACCACGTACAAGCGCAGCGAGTACCGCGACCGTGTATCTTTGCACGAGAATGCGAGTCGAGAGGCCCTCAGATTGCATTTACCTTAAATAAATCTCTAAAGTATGTACTACATGCTGACAGAAGCATCTTATGCGCCCTGATCCTCTTGCCCTCGCAGCTCAGGGTGACGTCCACGAGATCCTCGTCCGTTCTTAACGTGTCAAAAGCACAAGTGATGTGTTTCAAATAATTGTTCCATCTGAGTGAGAACTGTTGGCTGGAACCCATTCTGCTTTTCTGAAAGTAAGAAGAAAGGAATAAAGTTGTTAGCTGGAGGTCGGTGTTAATAACGCGCGATTTTATTTAAAAGATATGTAAACAAGATTAAGACAATAATAATCAACAATGCGCGTATCCGCGTGTGCAACACAATTATCTCCACTCTACGCTTGATCATTGACGCGTTTACCCGAGTACTTCGCAGAAATGCTCGTGAGTCAAATGTATGCGCGTTACTATTAAATTTTGTCGCTCATTCGTTGTCAAAAAAAGCGTAACACGAGCCAACGGATATCGCTGCGCGCGAGGCAAGAGACACGGACGAGCGTCAACACGAATCGCGCGACGGTGCCCGAAAGGTTATTCGGAGCCCCAAAGCTACCCGACGAGAAACCTACCTTGACCGTCTCTCCTCGAGGGGGAGTGCAAGACGAGCGAATCGAGAGAAATCCCACGGGGGAAGGGCGGCAGCCGCGCGCGCGCGCGCGGGGCGAGGAGTACCAGGACAGTCCCGCGGTCGCGGGACCGCGCGTATCGCCAGCGGATCGAAGCGGCGATGTAGGAGGCGGGCACGGCTCCGGGGGTCGCGTTATCCGCGCGAACTCGGCCGCGCGGCTCGGCTCCGGCGCGGGGAAGCCTAAACCGTAAACAGTGCGAGCGGCCGGGCTGACCACGCTCTCATCGCACTCGCGGAGGCAACGCCGTCGGGAACCGTCGTCGCTGGCGCGCCGCACACTCGCACTCTCTCGCGTTCCCCGCTCCTTTTTCCTCCGCTTTTTTTCTCTCTTTCCTCTCCACCGTCCGTCGCTCGCTCGCTCCCTCTCTCTCTCTCTCTCTCGGTCTCCCTCCCTGTCTCTCACTCGCGGCGATCCCGTGCGATCTCAGGCAGCGTGCCGCGTATCGTCACGCGAGTGCATCGCGCCCCCGTGCGCTCGGAGAAGCCCGTCCCGCGACGAATCCGCGTCGTGTTTCCTTCACAACAAGCCACACTTCGCAGGCGAGTGACAGCTGGCGGCCATTTTCAGTACGGGGATACGCGCACGGGATGCGCGAGGAAGCCCGACCACCCTCCTTCCCGTGCCCCCCTCCACGCTCGCGTCGCGCGCGCCATTCGCGCGGGCAGGCGCGCGAGGCGCGCGCTCATTGGACCGTTGCGCGGCAACGTTCACGGCGCTGCCTCGGCGCGCCAATTTTTAAATTGGTCCTCCGCGCTCTTTCGAAGTCGCTCGAGTAGGGGCCAGTTTCACAAACGTTGGTTAACTGTTAACCAGAGTTCAGTCAACGCCCTATCTTTTTCTATCTTGTTCTCTAAGAAGAGACAGAGGATCAGTTAACCTTCGGTTAGCAGTTAACCGACGTTTGTGAAACTGGCCCTAGGTCGGTTGGGGAAGCGCGATTGCGACCAACCCGGAAGGAACTTGTTTACCACAACTGTTTCCGTTCTCCCAATATTGGATTCAAGTGCATTCCTTTTATCTGAATTTGTTTCTGGGGTTTCTCGATTCTTGAATTTATTCGAAGGAGAAACGTATGCGAAAATTCTCCCTGTTGAAAATACCCGATTAAAACCGATTGAAAATTTTGAATCCGCATGAATCTGGATTCTTGATGCGGAAAATACCGATTGACGCGGATAGGGTTAAATTTGAATCGTGTTTAATCAGGAATTTCCAGATAGATTTTGATCCGCGTCTATCGGTTTCAACCCGTGATAAAAGTTCACCGATTGGAACCGATTGGCGCGGATTCAAGTCAATCCGGCAAAGTTGTATTAAAAACAATAGACAATTCAGATTCAAATTCGCCGATTGGAACCGATTGGCGCGGATGCAAGTCAGTCCGGCAAAGTTGTATTAAAAACGATTGACAGATTTTGTCAGAACATCCGATAAAAACTGATTGTTACTGCTTCAATTCTATCTGGAATAACCGGATTGAATCAGATTGCGGATTGAATCCAATTGATCTTGCATTTCCACCAATCTGGTGCCCGATTGGCCCGATTAATATCGAATTGAAACCGATTAATTTTTATAGAAATCAATGCGATATCTATCGGTTTGAATCGGGTATTTTCAGCAGGGCTGCTCTTACAGAAAAGTTGCAAGTTGATTGGCTACTCGCATGGCTTTAACCAATAGACTTTCAACTTTTCTGTCAGAGCAGAGGTTTCGTATACGTTTCTTCTTCGGATAAATTCAAGAATCGGGCCCCTCGTATTGTTCTTCTAAAGAAGACAGGTGCCATATAAATAACAAGTCCGCCGGAGATCCGGCGTTTCAGACGAGGATTGCCACGTGTAAAGATAATTAAGTACGAAAGCGTGATGTAAGCGCTTCGATGAGAAAATATTCAGTACGAATTCCGTTAGAAATATAATCGTGCTGTATAGAGCCGAAGAAAACACGATTGCTTATTAATTTTTTTTATTAATATTTTAACGCGAATAGCAGGGGTTTCAGTACAAATTGTATCTGCGGAACTGTGTGCGACGCGCGAGAAACCTTCCGGATAAAATTAGGATGTGTATTTTACGACACTCTTCAATTTTCTAAAATCAGCGTGGCGCATAAATCAGGCTTTAATTCTCGAAATTTTAGAGAATCTAAGATTCAATTTCAACTGTTATTCTCGAAATTTTAGATGACTGAAAATTCACTTCGAACGTTTGGAGATCTTAAAGTTAGAGAATCTCCAATTTTTCTAAAATTTAGAAAATAAACAATGTTTATCTCTGCCGACGTAGATTAACTGTAATCTCGATTCAATTTATCTTTTACCTTCTTCTAATGCTTGATAGAAGGAATTAATCTTACATCGATAAAAATAGATGTATTACGAGGCATGTCCAGAAAGTAAGAGTACTGATTTTCCCACGGGCATAGGGAATTGTTGTTGACAAAGTTGATCACACTGCGTTGTAGCGGGGAAGCCCTCCCGATTCGAACGAAACGTGGAATAGCTCAGTACGATGAAAACTGCGGCCGTAGTAACTTGACGCGCAATCAGAGATCGATTTTTTCACAAGCGCGTCAGTCAAAATCGATGGTCTTCCGCTCTGATCATCATCGTGAACACTCGTTCTGCCATTCTTAAATTCATGACACCACTTAAATACATTCGCACGGTTCATACCTCCTTCGCCATAAACAGTTTTAATCTCCTCGAATATCTCAAACGGCGCTTTTCCCTTTGCGAGTAGAAAACGAATCACGGCCAGTGATGTCAGATTGGTCGCGTTTTTAGCGCATACGCGTCGATTCGAGGCTCACTGAAGTACCTACTACGGACAAATAGGTGTATCGCTATAAGTCGCCCGTGAGAAACTTTCTTAAAGAAAATGAAAAAGAAATTTTCTTACTTTTCGACATGTATAATAAAATTATAAAACTCATTTTTTAATAGCACGATTCAGTAAATAAAAGAAAATTCCCAAAAGTAGACCTCTATTTCACCCGGTTACATAGGTGTTAACTCGTGCCTCGTATAAAGTATCGCAGCAAGTCGCCCCGCGTTCGTTTGTATCGCTTTGAGGCCCCTCCTTTATCTGGCTCGATGCTCGCTATAATTACATGAGGATGCAATAACACGCGTAAATAAACGACAATAGTTTTGAAGAAACAGACGCGTTTCAGCGAGACAAGGGCGAGACGGTAAGCTACCGTTTACGCCGCTCCCTTGCGAGCTTCGTACCTTCTGATACTCCGAGTTTTCAACTCCCACACGCGCCTTCGAGTTATTTCAATTGTTAAAGGCGCGACCGAGTTCATTTTAAGTCGCGTACGAATATTTAGTAGAATAATTTGCGCAATTTTTCGAGAAAGTGTAGGTACCTCGGTTAACATAGGTAACATTTCTTATTGTCTTGTACTTGAAATTAACAATTACTCAAGCGTAAATGGACGATGGAATTCAGACAGGTGAGGAGACTCGTTCGCACCGTTCGTTCTTTTTTTCTATCGTGTCACAATTTGTATATTTATATATTTATGGTGACAAGTTATCTACACATGACGATGCATTCTTATGCAGCTTATTATAAAACGTGTTTGTCGACAACAGGACGCTCATATTTCCCGGTTTCCTAAACGCGCTGGAATTACGAGAGACCCGTTTAAAGTTCCCAAAGTGTGTGCAATGCATTATCAACGTATACCATAACGAACAATTTGTAACATGCAGTCCGGCGAACAATGAGCGAAGAGAAAAGCGTTTAACGTTTGCTATCCGCGGATAATTACCTTCAACGCTAGGGTCGCCGGTGTCGCATTTTTGCGCGATACGACAATTCACACTTTCGGAATCGAGGTGTCCGCCCGCACCTCTTTTCTTTTTGTCTTTAGAACGAAACGCGCGTATATAAAACCCGTGGTGGAAAAACACGTTACTTACATATAGTTTGCACCCGAAAGAATTTCAGGGATCCGATGGATGGGAGTATCGAATCGCTCTCCATAATCTTTCGCCGCGCGACGAGACTTCCACAAGACACGTCGACTCCGACGGAGTCGCGCGCAAAATGCAACAGACAAGAGGTGTGCCGTGTTCCTTGTTTCGACGTAATATAATTTAATTCCGTAACAAATTCGAAATACAAATCGAAGATGGGAAAGAAAAGGGCAGAAGGCGTGAGGGCGCAGCCTACTTTTTTGCTATTTGCCCGTCCACAAATTCGAGATAACTCGAGCCGACTTTCAGAAACGCGACTCCGGTGCCGATGCCAGCTACCGTACAGCAGACCGGGCTTGGCGGCACTATGGAACGTATCACCGCCCACAGTAAGACTGATCCCAGGCTCAGTAATACCGCGCCGGTAGCGCTGAAAAGTAAATACGATAAGAATAGCAGATAATTCAGCCCTGTTCGAGAGCAAATACATACATGGAAAATGCATACGTGTTCTAACTGCGCCTAAATTCGCATAGAAAGACATCAGCGATTTCTAGCGTGCAGTCGTGGTCAGAAAAGTTTGTCCGACGTATGAAAAATTTTGGAAATACAGTCTATCGTGCGAGAAATTGTAGCTTTTGCTCACGGATATGTGCAGTGACACATCGTTAGAGCGAAGGAACGATATGTACGAATGTCTAAGCAACGATCATAGACATATAAAAGATAGACTGCTTATGAGGCAGTGGAACCCTAGGTGGGGGCATCCTTCTGAGGGAAAAAGGACAACATGAATTTATTTGGGTATCTGTCTTCCTCTAGTGGACGTGATCTGAAGGCGATCACGTGATCATGCCCACGTGATCACGTACACTAGAAGAAGATAGATACCCAAATAAATTGGTGTTGTCCTTTTCCCTCAGGAGGACATCCCCCACTACCTCATAAGCAGTCTATCTTTTATATGTCTATGGCAACGATACATACGAATATTCCAAAAACTTATTGTAAAACGTCAGACCTTTCTGACCACGACCGTACACCATGATACAAGAATACCAGGTGTAACATTACCGTGGATGCGCACTCGTGACCAATCAGAAATTTGCTCCAGATCTTCAAACTACAAAGCATCGCGGTTGAATGCAACAAGAACCACTGAACAATTTGTCCCAAAAATTGGTTACACGCGCAAGGTTACACCCGAGGGGGAAAACGCTGACCAAAATCTTGTATGTACACAAATGCCCACTAGATACTACTTAATCTTATTTATCTTATCTTATTTTATCTTTATGATGCCCCAGCAAGGACTAATGCCCAAAAATGCCTAGTAATGCCCAGTAATGCTGGAAATTTGTATACCACAATAGCTGCTTTCCTTTTACACTCAAGTGATACTGAGTCACTCAGTTATGCGAGTATTTTATACTCAGATATGACGTCAGTAAAGTGAGTCTATTAAACTCACTAAAGCACACAGTCTTGATCGTGTGCAAAAACTCAGTTAAATCTGGTTGAATCTCACTTCTCAAGAATCGAAAGGAACATGCATTCAACTGAGTTATGACGTCGCAAGTGAGATTTATCTGAGTTTTCATGTAAAAGGAAAGCAACTAATGTCCTCAGCTCATTAATAATTCGTTCCATTTCCCTAGCAAATTTATATAGGACACGTTACACATGTATACACGTGTTGCCGATGTAAAGTCTCACCTGTACAGAATTCTCACAGACTGCGGCGCGGACTTCATGTGTTCACGTGTATAGATGTACGATCCGGTGCCAACCAGAGTGCCAGCCAGTAAAAAATTCGTAATGTCCCTCTTCGGAAATATTCTGAAAGGAAAAGCAAACGGCGCGATCGAAGGTATCTTTATTACATCGCGTTACATTGTCTGACGTAAGACGCGTCCACGGAACGCTCATCGGTCGCGACACCCATAAATCGGAGTTACGTAACGAAAGAGCGAAAAAGAGAAGAGAGCCGCTGTCGCGCCGCACTCGCGGACGCGTTTAAGTCAAACGGCAAGCCGGGCGCTTACTTGACGACGAGGCTCGGGTTCATGACGTTGACGGACATCGCGGTGTACGAGGCGGCGCCGAATGCCGGCGCGTAGAACTTGGCGAGGTTGCACCGCGTGACCGGTCGCAGGCCGAGCTTCTTGACGATCGTCGAGCAGCAACCGTTGCCGTTGCCGCCGCTAGCGGCATCGCCACCGCCGTTTCCCGGAGCGGACATCTTTCCTCTCGTCGTGTTGCGACGCGTCTTCTCGTGCCGCGAGTCGCCGGAAGATTCCTTTCCGCGGAGCAGCGATCACTCGCACGCCAAGTGTCGTCTTCTCGAGACTTTGGTCGGTAACCTTTACGCGACACACACACACACGCACGCGCGCGCGCGTGCGTGAGCAACATGGCGGCCGGCGGCTCGAGCGACGCCAGCGGCGCAGTACGGCAAATTGGCACGGTGGTCGGTGCGCACGCGTGCAGACGGCTGGCTTGCCGTTTGTCGGTACGGTAGGTGTTCGCTGTTGCCCGCGGAGTTCGCGAGAGGTTTGCGTCGCGCGACGCTTGTCGGCGACTCGATATATGTTTTCGCGGTGTGAACTGAAATCGACGGGAGATATCGTCAAGAAAGAAAATCAAAGAAAATTGAAGCGAGTGGCTGCGAGGACGCTCATGTATTCTCGGTTTCCGTACTCCTAAATCCATCCGAGACTCTCGATTCAAGAACATTCCCTTTTACTTGCGCGTTTGTTTCTGGCCGCATTGTTTTTCAAACGAAGGTAGGTGCTGTATAAGTAAGAAGAGGAAGGCTGATGGCAGAGAGAAACGTAAGTCGTGAAAGGCTATTGTATCCGACTTACGTTTCTCTCTGCCTTGCCCTACATCCCAGTGAGAAATGATTCGTCGAAACGATGTCGAATCGATATCGACATTGTCAAATTCAACGTCAATTCGAAGTCAATTTGACGGTGTCGATGTCGATTCGGCATCGTTTCGACATCGACCGACGAGTCATTTCTCGCCGGGGTCTACGACTGAAGCCCGTATCAGACTACGGATTGGGATTGGGATTAGATTGAAATTTGACCAATCAGAGTAAAGCCCGTATCAGACTACGGATTGAGATTGGGATTAGATTGAAATTTGACCAATCAGAGTAAAAGTTACTGAACTTAAGATTAGTAAACTTTACTGTGATTGGTTAAATTTCAATCTAATCCCAATCCCAATCCGTAGTCTGATACGAGCTTAAAAGTTACTGAATGTGAGATTAGTAAATTTTACTGTGATTGGTTAAATTTCAATCTAATCCCAATCCCAATCCGTAGTCTGATACGGGCTTGAAGCGTTTACGGATTGTTCTCTGCCATCAGCCGAAGAAGAAGAAGAAGAGTGACTGTGATCTACCGGTTTATATTGTACATAAGTATTAGACGTGTCGGGAAAAATAGTATGAAGAGACCGAATTTATTGATAAGATGCGCTAAATAACCTAACGGTCGAGTAGCGGTCCAATTATTTCTCGCTGGTTCATTTTCGTTGCTCGGCAGCGGGGAAAAATGGAGGGAACGACAAACGGTGTTGGTCAAATTGGAATTTGATCGAGCACTGAGAAAAATTTCCATCGAACAAACCAATTAAATAGTGTTTCCGATGGTTAACTTTTCCGATTATGTTTCCCGATTAAATTTATCCGATGAAACGCAGTTACCGGTGAAATTTGATCGAGAAACCGATCATGCTTTTCATCGGATATACAATTTAATTGGATATATCCGTTTGTTATTGTGTAACTGGATTATCCGATTATATTTAATCGGACATTTTTCTCAGTGAAGATATCTCGACTCCGCCGATTCACTTGCTTACACGTGTTTTATTGCGGCTCACTACTGTTCCGTATATTACGTATAAAAATTCAGGTTGGTATACAATGGTTGTACATCGTTCTCCGAGTATCAGAAAACGGGGAAACCCCCAGGATTATCGAGAGGATGTTGGCGCGACTACTCGCGGGTCTCCCGCGCGTCTCCCTTTTCCTCGCAAGTGTCTGTACGTGCGTCGTCCGACGGCTCGTGGAAACGTTTGACCGAGATCCTATTGATCCTTCGGCACTGCGAAATCCAGCGATCCCATTTTTGTGCGAGACCCGTCGTCTCTGTTCTCCCCCGTTGTCGGTGAGAGGGAAAACGCGACCCCTGCTCACTGTTTCTGCAGGAGCTTCTTCTCGGAGGATCCGATCCTCAAGCATTTGACCGTGAGAGCGACTATCATGATGACGGCCCCGACGAAGGACACGATGCCGAAGACTGCGAGCACCGCGAACCAGCTCTTGAACGCGCCGATTCTGCTGTCGCAGTTGTAGTCGCCGGTGCCGTTGAGATCGAGGGCCGACAGGTTGACCGGCCTCAGGGAGATCGATTTGTATTTGCGCCTCGCGGCCGTCGTGTTGCGCTCCTTCCTGACGAATCGGTAGGATATGGCATAAGTGAATCCCTGCCCATCGCGGGACCCCTTGGCGCTGTAGTACTGGATCAATAATTCGTTTCCGCTAGACGTCAAAGGTACTTGAATGTTGTTGATATCCCAGTGAGACGCGTCGCAGTAGGACCACATCAGGAAGCTGTCATTTACCTACAAATCGTCGTCGATTATCAGAGCGCGATCATTGTCCCGCGAGCGAACGCGACAATTCCGCGAATTACAAAAGGAGAAAGAAAGAAAGTTGAGACCTCACCTCGCGGATGTCCGAAGATCGTCGAAATCTTTCGTTGATCTTTCGGACTTGGAAGTTCGCAAAATTTTTTTTAATTAAAATAAAAATCAGTCATTAAGGGGATCCTAAAGCCGTCTGTTTTATCGACATTCTTTGTTGGAAGTAAAATTGTTGCTTTTTCGTAAAAGTCTTAAATCGACTGGCTATAAATTTCTCGGGCCGAGTAGAACTTGGAATTAAAAATGCCGAAAATTGACGTTTTCAATTCCGTCTCCTATCTTATTCGACACTGATCGAGTTTGCCAGCGGCTTTAGGATCACCTTAAAATTCATTCGCGCAAACACGCGTTCGTTTAACCGTGCAAATACGCAAGATAAAGAAAGCGATTGTAACGCCGAGATGAATCTCGGGACGAGTCCACGTCGATTCGCGTGTTCCGAGGAAGGGCATTGTGAGGAAGGGCCGATTGAAGCCCGCGCTTACCTGCGCTCCATTATAAACGGTGATCTCGTTGCCCGGACAGGAACTCAGGGTGAAATTTTGCCTCCCTGTTCCCGGCTTCTCGTGCTCGGGCTCGTTTCTGATGATCTTTATATGGACCGAGACCCTCTCCGGGACCCTACCGAGGAACCTGTAGGTGCACACGGTGTCGGGGGGATACCAGCTCCGCGGGGACCTGACACTCTCCCTGCCGTGGCGCGGCCGGCCGGTGTTCCTGTAAACGAACTCGCATCTCGCGCGCCTCACCTCCCGCGAGACGCGCTCCTCGTGCAGGGTGACTTGAAAGCCGTCGTGGGCAACGGTGCCGTCCTCGCGCGCGACAAATTCTAGGATGACATTTTTCCCGCGCGAGTAAATGCGCGGCACCCGACCGCTACCGCAGAACCTGGACATCTCCAGGATCCGCCCGTTGACGTTCTCCAGAAGCGCGAGATAGTCACCGCCGCCGTCACACGTGTTCCCCAACGATCGATTCTCCCTGAGGTATTTGGGTTCCGCTGCCTTGATGGATTGCACGGGATTACGTAATATATCGATTTAGGTGGACAAACAGACCGGATACGGAAATACATTCCTTGTCGCGAGCAAATCTTGCCGTTAAGCGAGATGATGAATCTCGTGCGGTCATCCTCTGAATCTCGTCGTTTTAATGCGACAATGTGCTCTTATCATTTTTACGTGATAAATGTATCGTTCAAAAATAGTAATGGAAAAGAGGAATCTTAATTGCTATCGATCATCATCTTAAATAGTACACGAAGAGAATTTTCTTTTAAAATTTACCCTGAAAATCATATAATCGTACACTGACAAAAAAGTTTTTTAAACTAAGTAAATAGGTTTACTTAAAATTTTTTTTTTACTGAAGTAAATATTTATTCTGTTTAAATAACAAATTTTAAGCAAAGCTAAAGATTTCATGAAATATAGAATACTATTTATTGAATGAATTAATTGTTTTTGTTAAATAAGAAATCCAATTTTCTTCGCTGTGAAAATTATATCTTAGTAAACATTTTATAGAATTAAAATAAAATGTTTTTAATTTAAAATTATCTATATTGTTTGATATTTAATAAATACTTAAATTAAAGCAATGCATATTTTAATTAATTATTTTTTAAATTTAAGTTAATAAGCTATTAGGAATCACCTAATGAATAATTTTCTTAAGTAAAGTAATATTTTTTCGGATTAAGATATCTTTTATCAGTGTGTGACAACGTGGCATTTCGAAGAACTTTGTGAGAGTTTTCAAATTTTACCATACATTTTGCTAGTAAAATATATAGTAAAATTTTAAAAAATTTATAAAGTTCTTCAAAATGAATGACATGTAGTTTTTAAAACGACCTACACTGGCCAATGTTTTTATTTAAAAAAACAACGTTTTGGTTTCAGATTTGGACCCTTTTCAAGTAATTTGCAAACATACATAACTCAGCACTAAACATTTTTTATATATAAAAAAGAAAGTAATTATAACGAAAGTAAACCATAAATCTATACCTGTTCACACAATTGTTAATAATCTCATATCGTTCGTTTGGCCAATATCGTTATACAGGCCCGGGTGTTATGTAATACCCGCATCAACGCTTATTGTGGGATAGAGTGGACTAGACTAAGTCGAAAAGTCCTCTACCATTTTGCAATTTTCGCAAAAGTCAGCGAGTTATTAATTATTAAAAATCGCTGTCTTAGGCCGGTCCACTGCCCAATTCAAACGTGCGGCGAGATCGATCGATCGTTACAACTCTCTGCGCGCCTAGTAACGATCGATCGATCTCGCCGCATGTTTGAATTGGGCAGTGGGCCGGCCTAAAACAGCGATTTTTAATAATTAATAACTCGCTGACTTTTGCGAAAATTGCAAAATGGTAGAGGACTTTTCGACTTAGTCTAATCCACTCTATCCCACAATAAGCGGGTATTACATAACACCCTGTATTAGTAAGCTGTGAAATGTTTGCAGATTACTTGAAAAGAATCCAAATCTGGGACCACGTCGGTTTTTTTTAAATACAAACGTTGGCCAGTGTAGGTCGTTTTAAAAAACTACATATCATTAGTTTTAAACTACTGGCGATATTAAATTTATTTGTGACCCATACAGTACCAAAGCTTTCAGAAACATTTCAGAAACATTGCAACAACGTTTTCTGAAATGTTTCTGAAAGCTTTAGTGCTGTATAGGGAGTTCTTCAAAATGCTATGTTGTCCCATGATTACATGATTTTCAAGATAAATTTTAAGAGAAAATTCTCTCTGTGTAATTATTAACAAATTAGCAAAACAAAAGATGCGCCTTTCCTTGATCTTAAACTATACATACCGTCGCGCTACCGATTATCTCGCTCGGCCGTTCAGGATCGCCATTGAAATATCCATTCGGGACGACCCCTCGATGGTTCTTCCTCGTTACCTTCGAACGCATTGATTTTATGCGAAGCTCCGACTCGTCTGTGTCGAACTTAGGCGGCGGCTCTTTGTGACGATGCTGCTTCCCCCCGTGCCGTAACATCGCCTTTTTCTCGTAGTGCCTGAGCCTCGTTAATTGTCCATTCGTTTCCGCGGTGCGTCTCGGCGCGGGAATACGGCTGCCCTGCTCGTTTCTCGACCGATCGTCCCCGATAATAGATTCGTCCGCCTCAAAGTGATCTCGACCCCACGCGACCGACGATCCGCCCCTTTCGCCGGAGTCGAAGGAGTCCTCGCAATTCTCCATCCGACAGCTCTCCTGTTCGGTGTAGTTCATCAGGTCGAAAAGGTCCTCCGGCTGACCGCCTATCCTGAAGCGGCCGGCGTGCGACTCCAACGATACCCTGCATCTGAGAATTACGAATCGACCGAATTCGGCATTCAGTATTCACCGCGATCGCGCAATGTCGAGTAAATTTTACAACTCTGAAATTGAGAGAATTCGATCTCGCCGGACGCTTATTCACGAAAAGTGTACAGCTTCCAAATTAGCTCGACAAGTTTCACCAGAACGTCCGAACGACCGTTCGATATTTGACGTGGAATTAGCGATGACGCGTAAGAAAGCAGAATTTGCAGCTGGCTTGTTATCTTGGCGAGCCGTTCGTTCGAAATTTCGGCGAACTCGAGCTTAACTCAAAGTAGTCGATCGCGCGCACCTAATCCCACGTGGATAGACGCTGGGGTAGCCCGGCGAGGTCAGCCTGCAGGACCTGTGCTCGTTGCGAACGGTGCATTCCACGGGACACGTCGGCGACGCGGACGCGGAGTAGCCGCGATGACGCTCGACCGCCAGGCGGATCGGCAGGATGGAGAATTGGGCGGAAAAGATGACCGGATGCGCCGAGGCGAACTGCTCGTCTGACGACAGGGTGATGGTCAGGTCGGGACCGCGTCGTAAAAATAGCCTGCGGGATCGCAAACGAACGAGGCTTTAGTCTAACGTGATCACCCCCCGAGTCAGGACAGGGGGATAAAATACCTCGTGGCGTTTCCGGTCACGTGGCCGCAATATCGACCTGTTGTTTCGTCCTCGAGATCGTCGGCGCTATCTGAGAATTGAAAATACGCCCCTTCGCAGCGGGCCTCCTTCAGGAAGCCCACCTGCAACCTCCTGACTTTCACTTCGATCACCTATAACAAGTCCACGTATCATGAATTTAACTCTAACTTTTACTCGACCCAGGGGTAAACCGCTGAGAGCATTGTGGTGTACAGATTTGCGGCATTACTGGGCATTACTAGGCATTTACTAGGCATTTTTGGGCATTAGGCCTTGCTGGGGCATTATAAAGATAAAACAAGATAAATATAAGATAACATAAGATAATGAGATAAAATAATGCCCTGCACTGGGCATTGGTGTACAAGATTTTGGTCAGCGATTCCCCCCTCGGTTTTACCCCTCGTACTCGATTAATGTACTTGATCATTAATTGCCCTTTTTTAAGTAAATAATTCGTTAAAGATAACGATTGCAAGTAACCTGCGGATCCTTGAGCGGTGCTCTGATTCGCACGATACATCGACCCATTCGTCCCGTCCAGCGTATCCAGCCAACTGAATTTCTGATAGTACGATTGCACCCTATTGTAAACGGGAAAAATGTCATCATTCAAACGAAAAAAATAACACGTGCAGATATACCTTGTATTTACAACAAAACGAGCGCAGGTGCGTAATAAAAAAAATATTGTAAAAATCTCCGAAAATACCTACGTATTCCAAAACGCAGAACGCGTCGATTAAATAATTGTTATACTTCTCACCTCCCGCTGTTTTACAAAAGATACGCGCGTATAAATACACGTACAATATACGAAATACATATAATAGAAAATGTTTGAGTAAGATTTTCGACAAGATAAAATTTAGACGCTACGCGTTCGACTATTCTGATTTATATTTCGATTGATATTATTTCCCATTTCTTCGGCCCGTCCGCGAGATTTCTTGGAGGAGTTTCTCTCGAGATTTTCCTCGGAATCGATTTCGCCAGGCGAATTATTTCGCAGGAAAGGACGGGAAACGCGGTTGTCGAAATGCCGCCGCTGGCACTCGTCGATGAAAACGCGATCTTATTTATATAACGACCCTCAACCCTTCACCGGACTAATGAAATTACTCAGAGTTTACCGGCTAATTAATTGCCATTGATGTAAGCAATCTCGCTGAACTGAGACGCTGGTTTGCCGATATCGTGTTTCGTCCCGTGTACTTCTGCTTCTCGACTCAGCTATATTTGTCATCTTAATTATATCATGCGTGCACGCGTGCGTGTATGTACGTACGTACGTACACACGAGTGAAACGTCCGTGTCGGTGCGATGCGACTGTTGGACTAATTAATTAATGCAGTTCGATAACATTCCCGTGAATACCTTTCAGAAATTATGAGTGCTTGATTAAACCTCAATATAACGTTGCTGGGATTTAATCTTAAATGTTAGAAAAATATTAATTTACCGCAAGTGAACGCAAACAAGATGAAACGTAGCGTTACGTCTTGTTCGCATGTAATTAAATTTTATATATTTTTCTTCCCCTTCTCCTTTTGTACTTTGCAGCGACTCGCGGAACGTATTGTACCCCTATTATTTCTTAAGAAGAAGCACATATTCAACGCCTTTCATTGACGCTAGTGGTACACGATCGCTGCGGGCCATCAGTATCACACAGACGCGTGACAATGCATACGATTAATTACATCAAGTATCCTCGGGCGGTGCGCTTCTGCGCGTAACGATTTTCTCGTTACAAGGGACATGAATAGTCATCAACTAGCGACTCTCTTAACGCATCGAATACAGGGAAAACATGTCGGGCATCTCGAGACGGGCGTTTTCAGTTTGTCATTGCCGCAAATACGACGGCCACGACGTGTAATTCCGAAATATTGCAATCGCGATGTCAGTTTTATAGAACTCGGAGGACGAAACACGTTTAATCCGGTGCTCGCATTCATCAGCGATTTGAACGGTGGCGTTAAATACGTTGTCCCTCGATCTAGGCGAATGTTATTCCATTACAAAGGTGATCAACGTTCTTTCTCGATGGAGTTTCGCCCCTCGTACTTCATTAAGCTACCCAATCTCATTCCCGCCGAAGCTTCTATCGGAATTGCAGTTTCTCCTCAATCGAATTATTCGCGTGTCGCTCGTGCTCACATTCGGCGCAAACAATATATTGCACATAAATTATTTAAAAAGAGACATCTATTACAAAAGTCTTTGTTTACTTGTTCAATGGAAAGCCATAATTACGCCGATCTACGATATCGATAATGGCCGATAACAATGTCTCGTTCGCGGCACTAATTAGCGAACAAACTTATCAGCGTCGACGAACCTCTGATCTCCGCGGAAGCCCACGAAGGATCATTGAGCGACAGGATCAGCAGCGAGAGCAGGTACAACGCAGTTTCCGATCTCATCTTCGCCGCGGTGTATTATGGCACAGCACGATTTGCCCTGCTTCACGTCCTCCTCTCTATGCCTCCTCGCCTTCCGGTTTTACTCATTTTCCGCTCTTCTCATCGCGGAGGCTCACCCTTCATAAAAGCGGCCAACTCATCCGTGAGGTACGCTTATCTGCGAAATGAAAAACGTCGACGTCGAAAACTTATCTCGCGATCATCTCGACGGTCATTAACTCATTAGTTATCCTCGGATATTAGACATTTGTAGTATAATAATATAAAATGGATACGAATTTAACGTTAAAGACATCGGCCGATACCGAAGAGACTTGAGAGTTTCGCGAAATTGATTTGATCCTCCTCCTTTTTTAATTCGCCCGCTCATTCGAGATTCCCTCGACGTGTCTCCTCTTACGGGAGGAGACGAACGGCGTAAAAATAAAAGACGGGATAAAGTTGAAGGATGGTGGATAAGCGGAGAGTAGGAACGACGGGATATACATGTAAGCCTTGTAACTTTGGAAGACGGCGCGACGAAAAATCTCAAAGTTGTTTGAGCCGTCTCGGGGAGAGGAAGAGAGAGCGAGCGAGAGAGACAGGTCACGGCCAGTGATCCCTTCCGAAGAAATAGCGTCAGTCTTTAAGAACTTTCCCAGATCCTTCTCTCTTTTTCTCCCCCGGGTGGATACCTAGCGCGGCGGTCAAACTACCCGTGGGGAAAAAAAACAAAGGATAATCAGGCCTTTTTATCCTGGAGTCGCGCAAGTTCCAAGTCCCCCGACTATCTTCTTCTTCGAGAGGGAAAATCACGCGCGCTCATAATCGGTTCTCGTCGCTATAAGTCAGAATGTCGAACAATCAGAGAGGACTGCACAAAATGAGAAACGACAGCGCAACAAGTTACTCATTCTAACACATTTGCAGCAATAAGAAACATAAAATAACGTAAACATAAGATTGCTTTTCGGATTGTACTTCTCGATCGGTTAAAATTAAATATTGGAATCTTCCTTTGTTAACCAGATGTTACTCACGTTTACCCTTGCGGTAATCAAAATACTGTTGCCAAAAAAAAAGAGGGAAAGGAATTACACCATGGAGTTCGAAAACCTGCGAACCACGATGGCAGTGACTTACGAAAATTGCACTAAGCAATTGCACAAAGCAAAGGTACTAAGCAAATTCTCTTTCTTTTGGTTGGGATACTCTGCTTGGTGCACCGGATAACCCGGAGAAGTATTCTTAGAGATGACTTTTATAGTTTTGCTTTCCGGAGCTTGCGAGAAGGTACTCATCATTGCGAGCTGTCAATCACACGGAGAAAAGTTTCTTTTAGAATTTACCCTGAAAATCATGTAATCGTGGAACAACATGACATTTCAAGGTCCTTTATGAAAATTTTTTGCAATTTTACCATACATTCCTTTAAGAAAAAGAACTAATTGGCAGCATCAATAACTGATGATATTGAATCAGTAACTTGTAGCGTTTTCACCCATACAGCACAGCAGGGTTTCAGCAACATTGTAACAATAATTCATCGCAAGATTGCAACATTGCCTAAACGCTGCGAAATGTTGCTGCAACACTGTTGCAATCTTGCAGCAACGGTAAAATGTCCGCCTTCAGAAATATTACAATGTAATATTACACAACATAGCAATATAATATATGTACAATATATGCAATAATACTTTGTGTATATTTATATTAATACACTC